CCCCAAAACCCCAAAACCCCAAAACCCCAAAACCCCAAAACCCCTTTACCTGATTTGGTCATTGAAATTAGGTAAGGGGTTAGCCAGTTTTATAACTGTTTCTATAGATGGTACTGTTCTTGAGAAGCTAAGAGGGAGGTTACATATTGTTCTGGAGAAGACACTTTTAGGATGACATGAAGATATTGGAAGAGTCTTTGGAAATAAATTGATCAGGTTAGGCAGATTAAGGATAAAATAGACTTTTTACAAGTATTAAGAGGAATTTTTAGGTATTCATATCCTTGAAATTGATATTCAAAGAATTGTTTCAAGATATTTAGAATTAGAATTAGAATAATCATATGAAATGCACAATTCAGTATTGGGCAATATAATTAAAACAAAAGCTAATTTATTTATAAAAAAATTGCAATAAATCTAAACTTCGAAATATCCAAAAATTATTAAAAACAAACAAATTTCTAACACCTAAAACAATTTCAATACATCTATATTAATCCTATTAAACCCCTAACCCCTCTTCTCATTTACAAACATCTCACCCATCTCTCCTATTCCACCTCCTTCCAAAGAACCCTAAATTTCTCTTACCAACTATCCCCCAACCCCTTCCATTCATAACTTCCAATCCTACAATCATCTGCTTCTCCCCTCCCCTAACCCAAGTTCCCCAAGTCCCCAAGACCCCAAGCCCCCATCAACTCCAAGTTCCCCTCTCCTTCTAAAATTCCTTCCCAGTCAAACCTTTTGGGCTGCTCTTAGCCCTAAAAGTTCGGAATTGGAAATTAGTAGTAGAGGTAGAAAGTTTAGATGTGGTGAATTGGCTGTTTTAACCTTGAAGGATAGTTTAGAAGAAGATTTAGAGCCATTAAGCAATTTTGAAGCGTTGGTAAGAATTTTTGAGATCTGAAATAATAATAATCGTTTTAGGAGTTTACTAGAATCAATGGTTAATTGGTGATGACGTCAATGACCAGGTTTTCTAATACTGATTTGGCCAACATTTTTAGGTTCTAATATAAAGTTCTAGAACTGCATACTTTACCAGAAAGTTAATCTTAAAGCATATTTGGTAAGTTATTGAATTCATAACCCTCAATACATATAACCTACAATTTTTATACAATAAAGTACTTTATTTTTCAAAAATCAAGTTATCACCATCCCAATAATTAATAACCCCTATTAAAGTCTCCACTCCAATTATCACCCCACAACTCCTCTCTTCCTCAAACCTCCCTTCCTAATTTTACCCAAATCCCAACTTAACCCAACCCACTTACCACATTTCAAAAAATTCCCAAAATTCCCAAAATTCCCAAAATTCCCAAAATTCCCAAAATTCCCAAAATTCCCAAAATCCTAAAAATCCTCACTATCTCACTCAGCCTTCCTCCCTTCTTCCACTCGCCCCGTTCAAATCCCAAAATTCCTTCCTAGCTCCATTCTAACCCCAACTATTTATGCGTACTTCTGTGCTGGACGAATGAAACTGATGGATCCCAGTTTAGGGATTTGTTAAGAAAAGGGAAATTTTAAGTGGGAGTAAGATAGTAAATTTCTGGGAAAGTTAAAATTTTGAGGTTTTATAAGACTAATGAATCATTTTTATTGCGATATTTCCTTAAATAACACCTAAAAACAATTAGTTAATAGAAATCTTTCTCTTATAATAAAAACCTCTAAATAATGCTAAAATGTGTACAAGATAAGGTTTTTACTAATATAATCCCAAAAATACCCTCAATAATAATCCTCAACAAAGCCAAATTTATTATAAATTGTCACTTAAATTCCAAATTTTTGCATAAAATTGCCTTTTTCTTCTAAAATCTTTTCTAAAAATTCCCAAAATCTTCTCTAAGGCTAACTTTGGGGAAAACGAAAAAGCAGTTTATGTAGGTTTCTTCACTATGATTTTAGAATTTCTTCTAAAATTTCGTAAAATTTTGGTAAAATATGTAAGTTTTCGATCGTTTTAGCAGTAAATGGGACGTTTTATTAGAAGAATCGCAATTTTACAACAATTGGGTGGATAAACCATCTTTTTGACAGGTTCAGAAAATAATAAGATGATACTTTTTGGAGAAATTTTGGTATTAATAAAGAAGTTAATTAGCATTGTGGGTCAAGTCACTGCATTTTAGACCTTTTTGAACACTTTGGCTTAAGATTTCGGAGATAAGTTGAAGTGATTGTAGTAGGAATCCCGGTCAAGTTCCTTGAAGGTGAGTTGAGCTGGATCCTTCTTCTTACTCGTTGTAAGAATCCTGGGCATTTTAAGTTCCTTTTCATGCAGTCTTTTACTTTACTATGAGCTTTGTCCTTGATGCTCGTATGCATGTTTTGGAGATAGACTGCCATCTTTTGTTGCTCATCTAGTCAAGGTTCTTCATGAGATCTCACCTTCTTACGAAGGATGTCCTTGTAAAGTATCATTTTCTTCCTCTTAGGTATTTTTGGGGAAAGTGCTCTCTCAGTTCTCTTGAATTTGATGTCAGGAAATTGGGATGATAACTGAGACATAAAACTTTCTTTAAAGTTTCTAGAACTTTTAAAGTCTAAGATTGCTCTCTGGTCCTCTCTGGTGTCATGACTCTTCTTTCTGTCCAAGAATCACCTGATTTTGATCCTTCTTTTTGGAGTGAAAGAAGGAGAAAAAGAGTTTACACTTGGCTTTGGATGTGCTAATTTCATTTTTATGCAAATATTTTATTATTTCTTTTCTTCTTCTTGACTCTTAAGTGGGGTTTTGGGGTTTTGGGGTTTTGGGGTTTTGGGG